TTCTAATTATTCCCAATCCCAAAACGCAACATATACATCAAATGATCCATATCCTCCAAACAATTATTCACCAGCATACACATCAAACGATCCTCGTCCTCCAAAAAGTTATACATCACCTCAAAACATTGAAATTACATCTCAAACGTCAAATGATTCACGTTCTCAAAAAAATTATTCTCCAAATAGCCCTCAGCCTCCAAAGAATTATTCACCTACTCTAAATAAAACATATACTCCAAACGATCCTCGTCCTCCAAAAAGTTATTCTCCACCTCAAAACATTGAAAATACGTCAAACGATCCGCATCCTCCAAAAAATTATTCACCAACTTCAAACAAAGCATATACATCAAATGATCCACGTCCTCCAAAAAGCTATTCCCCATCTCAAGACAATAATAGCCCTCGCCCTCCAAAAAATTATTCTCCGCCTTCAAAGAAATCATCTAATTCAAATGCACCATCTAATTCAAATGCACCATGTCCTCCAAAAAACTATTCCCCATCTCAAAACACTGATTCACAGGCTCCAACTTATGTTGGCGGAAATAAAGGAGATCGACTTTTGCAAAAGGAGGACAGATGTTGTAGTTGTTCAATCTGCGGATGCATACAATGCACGTGCACCATACTTATGATTGTTATTGGTGTAATTTTTATCATTGTTGGTATTGGAATGTTTTTTTATGCCAAAACGCTCCCCTCTGTATGTGGTCAGCATTGTGATCCCAGTCAAGTCACTAATTCAACAAATTCCACAACGTCCGCGGTTCCAGGCAATGCCACTGATGCAGTTAATAAAGCTGCCAACGATGGTAGTTCTCAATGTAAAGCTATATGCCAGAAAATCATATATCAGGCACTGTATTATGGAGGTTGGGGTTGCATTGGCTTCGGTGCATTATTGGTGTTGATACAAGTTCTTAAAATGCTATGTAAACCTGGCAAAAGATCATGCTGCTGTTAACGGTCTATAATCAATTGTTTTATAACAGTTTTCAAATGACTTTTAAATGACTAGATGACCAAATGACTAAAATTTGTTTTATTAAATCAGGTAACCATTAATATTGTATAAAAAATTTATAAATAAATTAATTAATTTAATGCTTGAGTTTTCTAAGTTCAAATAACTTGAAATTGATTTTAAAATAACTCAAAATTTATTTCAAAATGCCAATAACCCGGTTATTTGAGAATACTAATTAATGATATCTGCAAGACTATTTTATACAATATATTACAGTATTATTATATAAATTTTTTATACTTTATATTATTTTAATTATTTAAAGATTGGTGTAAATTATTGTACTTGTTTGTTATTGTACTTTAGTTTATTTTATTCTAGTTCTTAGAGTTTTTATTTCTGTAATTTTAAACAAGAACTTTCAAAATTAAAAATTTAGATAACTTACTAACGTTAGAATCAGAATTATTATTATGGTTAAAGTTTGGTAGAACATAATATATAGTAAAATTATACAAGAATGTTTTTTGTTAAAAATAGTTTCACGTAACCATAATTTTGCGATAATAATAGTTTTTGTGTTTTTTTTTTTATATTATCTTTTTGTAGCCCAATTAGAGGCAAATTTGCTTTTAAATTTTATTATAAATTTACTTTTGATTTATTTTTTTAAAAAATTAAATATTTAAATAATTTTTTTAAATTTGAAAATATAAATTACAGTATATTAAAGTAATATTTAATTTTATTTTATAAGAAAAGTTTAAATTACTTATAAACTAAAATTAATAAAATTAAAAAACTTTAATTAAAAAATATTTAAGCTAAAATTAATAAAATTAAAAAACTTATCTTTAATTAAAAAATTATTTATTAAATTAAAATTAATAAAATTAAAAAACTTATCTTTAATTAAAAAATTATTTATTAAACTAAAATTAATAAAATTAAACAATCTAACTTTAACTAAAAAATTATTTATTAAACTAAAATTAATAAAATTAAACAATCTATCTTTAATTAAAAAATTATTTATTAAACTAAAATTAATAAAATTAAAAACTTATCTTTAATTAAAAAATCATTTATTAGCACTTTAACAAACTTTGTAAATATATATTAGTTTTAAATCTATAGTTCTTAATACAATAGTATATAGAGTTTACTGTATACAAAAAATAAATTTATTATTAAACTTTAATAACTTGCTTACAAAAATTATAACTTGCATTGAAAGTAAAAATTTTTTTAGTTACTGTATTTTTGTAAATAAGATGAGATTTTACATTTTGTCCTGTTTCAATTGCTTTTAAATTTATTTTTTCAAAACTAAATTCAAGCCAGAAGTTGAACTGCAAATTTGAATTAAAATATATTTGATTTTAGTTTAGCAAAAATATACTGCTGCATATATTTTATTAATACAGTAATACTCTGGCTCAACTCTCACATGATTTTTTTGTCAAAATAAAATTTACAACTATATATGTGTGCTGCAGAGCGAAAACCTGTAACTGATCATAATTATTTACTACGTAGCATACGTATGTGCATTCATATAGCGCAGTATCAATTAACATTTTATAGAACATAATTAGGCGATGTCATAAGTCTGCATCTATATATTTGATGCAAGAAATGATCTACAATAACCTCTCTGATTTCCTGCCTTTTTATTTTCAAACATTTCCTCACTACACGTTTTTCTATAATAATCAAACCATAGCTCGAAATGTCTCGTGCACGTACTTCAAATGAAATTTGGTGGGCAAGGCTTGTGGATAGAGCTGACGAATTTTTACATAACTATCCAAAATTACCAACAAAGCCAATAGCAGAAAACAGGTAGTGCATAGAGCATTAAATTATTAGTTAAGTACTGGCTAATATGGACTTTGTACGGAATGTAGTTTGCCTTTAAAGATTGGCTCAAACATAACGATCAAAGATTTTAACACTTTTCTTAACAATCACGGATCATCGGGATATAAATTCCAGTTCGAGTTGAACAGTGACAATAAAACGGGAAGTGTATATATAATTGATATGGCCAAAACAGTACACGAGACTGTTGTTGGCATGCTTCAAAATTTTTTCAAAGTTCCTAACGGAGGAGTTATTTATGATCCTCCCATAGTAGTACTAGGACAAACTCGTAAGATAATATGCTTCTAGTAGGAAAAAACCAAGTTCTTAGACAGAATTTTTGTTATTGAATTTTCGATCATCTGATTGTCTTTTTGTTATAATACACTACAATCCTGAGAAAAGAGAGGTTCAAATAGCTCTCGACGTTGCTGTATATCCAAACACAGCTTTTGTTCCAAGACCTGCTGTTTCCACCATAGTACCTCGTCCTCCTAGTGATTTAAGTATGCGTTGAGTTTTATATGTTTCATTATATTTTTGTTTTATATTAAAATTTTCATTATGTAGGGAAATCCGCATGCACGGATAATATGTGAGGTAGCAGTAGGCCAAAGTGTTGGTTATTTAAGACAGAAGTGTTTGGCTTGGATGAGCGAACAATACGTTTGTGCGGTTGTTGGTATTAAGATTTTAGATCCAAGACCAGGAATCCGAGAACCTAATACTGGTTATTTTTATAGAACAATGACGGTACATCATTTAATAATACATTGCATCTTTTTATACCTAAATGATCTGGTTTTTTTTTTTAATATTAGGCGAAACTTTATCGTCAAAGAATGGCGACGCAAAGATGGGATTTTGGAAATGCTAGAAAAAATTCACAAAATCCTATCCATAATCCTAGTCCTTACAATGCACCAAACTTAACAGCTTTTCAAATAAGCATTCCCGTAGGTGAAGTATTTTGGGACCCACCGTCTCCTATTCCACCAGTATATGTACCAATGATTCCCAATGTGGTTACAATCCACAATTTCACTATTGACTTGTATTGGATACAACGAGCAGCATTAAAAGCTGAAATGTGAACAAAATTAGTTTGAACTTTTCTAAATGCATGTCGTCGGCTAAAGCGCGCTGCAGTTAGAGAATAGCTAAAAATATTGCAATATTACTATATTCACGTGATACCTAATTATTATATGACTTGGGCTTAGGGTATTCAGAATTATGCTTGCTAATTGTATTAAATTATGCTTTTTATGCTAATTATTTTTTTTTTTCTAAAAAAAAAATTTGAATTACTATGTATACTTTTCAAATTACTGTAATTAGCAAATATACATCATACGTATGATCATTTTGCTCTGCAGCATTCATATATGGTTATATAATATATTATTAAAGGAAAAATCCAGATTTTTTTACGTATTATGTGTACGTACAAATATAACAGGAAAGTATTATTATAGTTTCTAAACACAGTCGGGATACGTATTACCCTTTAATAACAACCCGGATAAAGGGTAGGATTTAAAGTTTACAGTATATTGATGGCTTTTTTACGACTTAAAAAAAAAACCATTTTAACGGCTAAAAAAAATTTCAACTTTACATTTGGTAAAGTTAAAATTTAAACCATTATAGAGAATCTTTAAATATCATCATCTTGCTGAACTTGCTTGCGAAATAGATGAAGTAAAATGGGGATCGAGATCGAGATCGGGGGGTTTTTTTTCTTAGTACCAGTATATTTAAAGGGAAAAAAAGATATTTGAATTCTTAATATCATTTTATGTAAATTTTTAATTATGTACGAGCTAACGCTAATAGCGTATTTTATCATCTGAAAGGTCAGGGTATTAATTAATAATATCTTGGGTTGTTGGGTTTGGTATTACTGTATTAGTGAGGCAGTGATATCGAAAATACATAATCAGTATCAGTCTCAGAAAAATGTTTATGATTGGCAGTTTAATTTTATATTATTTAAGTGCTTTTTTTTGTAAAAGAAAAAAAAAATCAAATTACAAATAAATAAAAAAAATGTAAAAAATTTTATAGGACTCCACTATTAAAAATAATCAAAATCCCTTTTTGTTTTAGAGAAGTTAGCATAATAACGACTTCTGAAAAATAGATAGAGTTAGGCCATACAAACTTAATAAATCGGTTCTCATAACATAAAAGTTTTCAAAGTGACCCGGCAACCCGGCTTTTAATTTTATTTTCAAAAAATTTTATATATAAAAAACATAAAATTTTTTATAGATTTTTTTAAAAAAACTCACCCGGATAATAAGTATACTTGAAATTTTTTTTTAGAGTTTTGTAAATTTCGACCCGGCCGGGTTATGAGAACCGATTTATTAAGTTTGTATGCCTTATGTTATTATCATGCTAACTTCTCTAAAATAGGAGAGAATTTTGATTATTTTCTTTTATTTATTCTTTGTAGGTTTATTTTTTTTAAAAAGTACTTTAAACTGTATAAAAAATGAAATTAAATTGGTTTAAACAGCCAATTATATGAAAGTTTTTCTATGAGTAATAGTCATATATTTCCGTTATCACTGCCTGGGATCAATCCACTAATACCCAATGATCCAAGATATTACTATTACAAATATTTGTACACATCTAACAGAAATTTTTTATAAAATACAATATTTGTTGATCGTTATTTATGCTGTGATGATTTATCTTTTTAAACTGGGCAAACATTTAATTTATACAAAAAGGTTAATAATATATTTTGATATCCCTAATTTAAACATGGGCAAAGTACATATAGATCAAAAATGCTTATTTATATAATCCGTTGCCATTCAGCGAATTTAAATACTTTAAACGGGATGGGTTATCATCAGCAGGTCCTATATAAAAATCAATTATTAGTAATTTTTCAAGGCAAATCCTATAAAGACCAGTGTACGTACGATTGATAGGAGTCCATTTGGGTTCTTCCTTAAATAATCCTGGTTAAAAATAAATTAACATTTAACAGGTGATCATATATATAATTGTTTTAATAAACGATATTATGATAATACTAACGTATAACTTTTATGTAGTCATTCGTGTCAAGAGTAAACCGGTGGTAAATGCCTTCCGGCTTCATAAAGTAATTTTTTGAAAAAAAAGATTTAGAAACGGAAATCAAGTGTGATTTAAAAGGTTTCACGATATGCAATAGTGTCGGGCGACGTCACGTGGCTGAAATGGCGCATCAGTCTTTTATAGGAGCAAAACCTTTCATGAAGAATTAAAAAACCTGACAAGTATAGTACATATGCTCTCTGTAAAGATACATTTTAAAATCCTTACTATATTTTCGCGAAATAACGCGCAGATGTATAATTTCAAATTTTGGCCTAAATTAAGCTTAATTCGGGCCAAGATTCGAAATAACACCTATGAGTGTTATTTCGCGAAAATACGGGTATATAAAAAGGTTTAGCGATTCGAAAAATTGATACCGTATAAGAATGCATCAAAACCACGAATTTGGATCATTTTGCATATAAATAATCCCCACTACACTCCGGACAATTAAATAGATGCTGACAAGTGAAAACCAGGAAGTCTAAATATAAATATTATAAAATAGATATTCTTATATTTCCTGGTTTTCGCTTGACGACACTCGAATAATCTTAATATATGACATAAGCAATTCTCACCAAAACGATTAAATCGCCTTTACTGACAGCCAAACGAATCCAACGATCCGCACGATCTATTTAATAACAATATTAATAATATTATTATGAAATTATAAATCATTTACATAACAGAAAATTCATTTACCGCGAACGTCAAAGTATCCAGTACCCTCAACAACATAGCGAATTTCTTCATCTTCATGAAGATGCCTGTATATTTAGCAAACCTGTGAAATTTTTGAAAAATTTCCAATAAAAGAAAAATATAGCAATCACATACTCCTCAAAAAATGTCTTAATTTTGCTTTCGTAAGCGGCACCTAGACCTTCTCTCGAACAAGTAAGCTACATTATTTGATCAGAGCAAAAATTAATATCAGTCCTTTTTTTTTTTTCAGGAGTTAATAAAAACCACGAACTTCATCCCGATTTTTATAATGCCTTTCTTCACATATTTTATCTATTTGACTAAGGTAGTCGTCACCCAACTGCCAGTATAGAATTCCAAAATTTGCAAGCTCTTCAGGAGTCACCAGTGTCAGAGGAGTCTGTTCGTGCGGTTCACGAGGATCTGTTTCTTTGTTATCATAATAATACGCGCGCATTTTTCAGTGAGTTGCAAAACAAATGGATATTAATAATTTTGGGTGGGATGATTTTATTTCGGTATTACTGTATTATTTCGAAATAACGCCCTGGGGTGTAGGTTAAATATTTTGCCCGTATTAAGCTTAACTCGCCCAAATTAAGCTTAATTCGGACCAAAGTTGTAACCTACATCCCAGGGCGAGATAATACGGTAATTCAAATTATTTTTTGTCGGGGATGATGCTGAAATCGGATGATGCTGAAATTTTGACTTATTTTATTATGAAAATGTAAAATTTTTTTG